TTTTTAGACAGTAATTGCCCTTTTGTTACAGCCTGGTAAACAAAAGATGAATCCAGAGCGATTATCTGGTTATGACTCTGTGGGAGGGCAGCCCCGAGCTTTTTCCTTTCAGAGCGACAGCGGCTGAGCTACATGTAGTTCATTGCTTCTGCCATGTCATTAATGAAACCCCTAATTATTTCACTAAGCTGACAGCATCCCAATGTTTGATCGATGGCGGTCTCTTTTGACTTATTGATGTACTCCAGTATCCAGTGAACACACGAGCAGCAGGGCTGCTGTGGCGCTTCCTGCCTCCAGGGACCATGTGACCACAGATAAAGATCATCAAACAGGAAAGCTCTCTTGTGCTGCCCTAAGCTCAGGCAGACAGCAACCAGGCATCTTGGAGATTATCCTGTTGATCTATAGAGTAGCCTAAACATCGAATAATAATGCCCTGTCAAAACAAACATCCACTTCAGCCATCATCAAGAGCCATCATTTCCAAAAAAGTCATTATGCTAAACAGGATGACAATTAACTTCTTTTCCTCATGAACCCCTCTCTTGTTTGAACCTCTGAATGTTAATCTATTCAAGTTTATCGGCAAAACTTTACAAGACAAATTCCTTTTCCACACTAAGACCATTATTATATTTTCATATGGAGTTAATGGGCAGTATATGCTGCCTGGAGGCTGGTTCTTTGACATGGCAGTGTTATTGACATTTGAAGCACGCACATGCCATTGCCGTTACTGGAACGTGAGCATGTTAGGCTAGTGTTTGCCTTTCAACCTCAGCATCTGCTGTAGCTTACTGCGAGTGAAAAAATTATAAAAGTAGGCCAGGGAGCTGAATCCTTCTCTGTGTCAAGTTAAAATGGATTTCTGTCTCAGGAGATGTATCGACACACCCAGCTTGTTTTTTCAGCGCCTTCAACTAGCAACACTGCTGAGCTTTCTTCACAGCTCCTCCTTTCTGCTCCGACCTCAGCCAACTCATCAACAGGGGTCTCTTTTATCTCTTCGGAAAACAGGTGGTTATGATTGTTAGTCAGTGCACATATGATGAGAGCGTTTCTGCCTCCATGTGTTTCCTATTTGGAATGCTGCATTTGCTAACACGCACACTCAGGTTTGGGAGGGACGCAGCAGATATTTCTGGTTACGCCTGCGATGCTGCTTGAAACACCACCACCCACGCCTGCTCAGCTGTTTCGGGTCATTCCACAGTAAGGGCCATGTGCCACTTTGACTTTAGTCCATGGAGGGACTGTTGTCGCACCGATATCCACATGGCTGACTGCTGTGATAAAAAAAAAAAGATTACAAATTACCTGTAATTTTCATAAGTAATTACAGAACTCTCAGTTAGGCCCACAGTAACTGTAGAATTCCTTCCTTCCGTTCCATCTGAGCTGAGACCAAAATGACAAATGTATTACGCCGCTGACACCTCTCACTCAGGGGTGTCTGGAGAGAACGCCTGACTTGTAACAAACAAACGCTCAGCAGCAAGGGACTCCTTTCTGTTCGTCTGTCCCTGTTTTACTCTACCATTTACTGTCTCTGCAGTAAAATGTCAGACTGTATGTGACTTGCCCACAGGGGCCGTACATGCCATTCAGAGAGTGCTCCAAACATTTGCTCACAAGCTTTGGGTGGGTAAGGAAACATCTGACAACATCCACCTCCTAGGGGAGCCACTATCTGCAGTTATCTTGGGGTGCACTGACTCCTGCCGCGCCAAACGGCTACGCCACACATACCAAACAATGAAAAAAGGGCCGACACTTGGCTCTAATTTAGACAAATGTTTGAAGAGCGCGCTGGGCAATGTGAGCAGATGAGCACCCAGTTATGAGTGGGTTAGCGGACGTTCAAAGCTCTGTGAGTGATGCACTGACTTATCAGCAGAGAACACGGGGAGGCTCAACAACGTAGTGGACTGCTTTCTCCCTTATCTTATCCATTCAGATAGAGGTGGGGCTCCAACTGGATTAGGCTGACAGCCATGAGTGAAAACAAAGATAATGTCAAGTCATAAAAATGTAAATTGTCCAGGAAGAGAAATCAATCAATCTCAACACTTGAGCTGAGTCTGAACCAAAATTCTGGTATTTACTGTGAATAATCAGGTTTTCAAAACTGATATGTTTTGTTAAGATGATGATGTTTGCTTTTGTTGATCCACACAATTTAAAAAACACAGCAACAAGGTCTGAAATGCATCTCTCTCCACAGGTGTTTCTTATAAAAATCAAAGCAGTGATCTCAAAGTTTATATTTGCTGAGTACTAATCCACTTTGAGCATCTTCCAAGCTCCCACATATCTTGGCCATGCTCTTCGCAGGAGGGCTCTGGCAGATGTCCTCTTGAAGTGCGTAGCCACTTTCTTTGGAATATTTTGAAGTGAAATGGCTCAGGTGAAGCCAACAATGGAAAACGTCAATGCATTCCATTAGATCAGAACGGAAAGTCCGGTGTGAGCATGTGTAGCCTACTTAAAATAACAACGGCCCTCGTCTTTTCGCTCCGCTGACAGATGACTGGGCTGATATTTGCAGCTATGTTCAGCCCTGCTGGGTTTAGCCTTCACTTGGAATGACCAGGCTTGCGTGGCCATTAAGATGATAACTAGCCAAAGAATGTCACGGATTGAAAATAACAAGCACATCTCACAGACACAGAAACAACAAATAACACAGTGTGACCTACAAGAACAAGAAGCAAAGCAAACAACACACTCATGCCTCTCTGAATTTCTTACTTATGAAACATCAAAAACTGCATTTGGAGCAGAGCTTTTCCAAAATACAAGAAGCATCCTAATTACAGTCAGTACCTATTAGGAATCAGCGCCCATCAGTACCAAGTAGTAATTCATAGCACGGCTTGTGGCTAGCTTTAGTCTCGCCAGATTTGTCCTGTTTCTAAAGACATGGCGATGCTGGCTGGGAGCCAGTCGGCCACATGGTTAAGCCCTGTCCAGGCAAGACAAAAGATATTCTTAAATATTTGCCAGCTCACTGCCCCCCCTGAAAATGTCAATTGTGCTGCTACCATGCCCTGACACAGATTTACTCAGGGGAACATAATTAAGGACTGACTTTGAAATGTATCCTTTGAAAAATAAAAACCCAGCACACAGCCTCAAGGTATGTCAAGAGAGACAGTGTGTTGATAGTACAGCAACAGATTTCAAATAAGCCCCACTGCTATTCCTAATTAAAGTAAAGAGAATAAGCCCATTCACACACTTGAGAGATCACAGGAGGTCCTTGTGTCTGTGCTTCGCTTTGATCTGTAAGTCTGTCCTCTCACACCTTGCTCAATCTACCTCCACAGGGAAACCAGAGAAAAACAAGCAGTACATTTCATGCCAAAACTGTTGGTAAACGTAGAAGCAAAGCACAGATGCCTGGACAGAAAAAGAGAATGATGTTTGTAAATGCATTCCTAAGATTTTTAAAGTCAAATGTTTCTCAAAAAGAAATCGTTACACTTGAGTTAAAATAAAATGTCTTCTTATATATATTATACAAACGAACAACCTCCCATGCCCAAATTATCAAAACGTCTTTAAATCAATTTCCTAAATGAAAGCAGAAAACTAAAGCTATGGCCAAGCACAAGATATTTATCAGAGATGCAATGAATGGTAAATCGCTTCATTTGATGAATAATAGCCCATTCTTTTTAAATCTCAAGCAAATCTATCTAAAACAGTGTTAACTGTTTGGCTTTACACAGTCCTGGTTTAAAAAAATAAACTAGGCTCACAGTTTGGGTGCAGCTCAGAGTATTTATCAGGCTAAAAGAAAAGAGCAACGAGGAGTAAAAGGGGAGTTAAACTATCTTGATTTATCTAAAATAAATTGCTACACAGCACAGCAACAAGTGGCTTATTGCTTTTCTATAATACAAATAAACCGGCGGAGAAAATGTTTGATTTATAAGAAGAAGACGTAATGATTTAACTTTGCTATTCTGCCGAATATCGTCAAAACACGTCTGTCATTCACGTCAAAAGTATGATTTGGGCTTTACGGCTCCTGCCTCAGTATTTAACGCCAGGCTCTTACAGGTGTGCGTCTCTCGCTGCCAACTGTAGGACTGAAAAAGTGGGGGTCTTTACGGGTGGGATACTGTCACGAATTGGTTTACCGACGGCTGTTTGTGTTTACCAGCTCGGCTCCGGTGTGGTCTGAAAGGGTCCAGCCGCAGCGGGAGGAGGCTCACTGGCCTGGCTGGCTCCTCCCGCGGACAGCCTGCTTTATCCCGCCGCAGGAAAAACCGTTATCTCGCATCACTACTTCCAACATCTCTGCCATCACCACGGCTCCAAACCCGCGTTAAATAGTTAACGGCATGGGCTACGAAACTGACTTGATACATATTTAATTCACAAACACAAAGTCTCTCTCCAAAGTTGCGAGGCTTAAACTTTTGACAGAGTGAGGACAAAAAACGTGGTGGCGCAACCAGACTGAAATGTAACTTACCGCTAACTGAACTGATGGAAGAGGTGAACCTTTCGGTCAGTTAAGTTACCGTTAGTCCCGCTACACTAACGTGAGGCTTCATCCACACACTTTATTATTTTACACAAAGCTGCATTACTCCGATGAAAACATTAAGGGAGAGTAACGTTGGGCGATGGATTTGAGAAACAATAGCTGCTTAAACCATCGCTCCGCCCGGAACGCTACATTTGCGAGTCATGTTGATAAGTTGTATCAAAAATGGCGACTATATTTGACATTTCGTTAACAGAATAAATAACGATATTTACTTCACGTCGGAGAAACTGTTGTTGCTGTCAGTCTGGACTGAGTTTAACGTTAGTTGCGTCCAGATAGGGTTACTAGTTACTTGAGGCAAAATCTATTTTTTGCCTAACGCTGGTGTAAAATCTCCACCAAAGAGATGCAGAAGTAAACAGCATTTGGTGGTCACGTTCCTCGTGGCGAAAACGGGAAAAGAAGAGCCAGTTGCCGTAATTTTTGTACTTACAGTGAGTTGAGAGGAGAGTCAGGAGGTAAGCCAGACGTGTTTTCGCCATCTTGGAGTCGATGCAATGCTAGGTTTGACTGGGCGTGCATGCGCAAAGTAGCTTAAAGCGCTTTGGTGTGGACGGAGAGAGGGAGAGAGACCTAGGCAGAGAGAGAGGGAAGAGAGAGAGAGAGGGCGAGAGAGAGAGGGGAGGGGGGGTGCATTATATTAGGTTTCCATAGCTACCGAAAGCATCACTCACACAGACAAGAATTTATAGTTGACACGATGTGGGAGGCTTTTACTACTGTGGCCTTACTGTAGGTAGGCAGCAGCTGGGAGCTCAGAGGGAAAACCACCAGCCTACACTCGTTTGTGTTTTGTGAGACAGAAGAGAGATGTTGCTCGTCTCAGTCTATTTTAAAGACCACCTTCCCAGTTTTCCTTTTTAAAATGAAAGGAAAAGGGTCACAGTTATTATATGTAGGCCTATATGTAAAATTAATTAGCAGTGGGGGAGAAAAGTATTAACATCCTTTACTTATGTAAAGGGAAAATAAATGCCCCTGTGTAAAATGTCCATGTCCTCATCCATTAACGTAAAAGCGGGCTTTTACTGTTGTAGTCGGTTGAGATGGAGTTCATTTCTAACTATTTTGTATCCCATGGCAAGTAAGGATTATTTTCATTATGGATTAATTTGCTGTTTAATTTGTCTATTAATTGATTAGTTGGTTTGTAAAAATATAGAAAATAGTAAGAAATGCCATCACAATTAGCGCCCAAAGTGACACCTTCACAGTGCTTGTTTAGTCCAACCAACAGTCCTTAAAAAAGTAATGAAAATGACATAAAACGTTATTAACAGTTGTCAATTAATTTTCAGCTAATTAATTAAACAATTAATCATTTCAGCTGTACTTGTGTGTTAGTTTGAGTTATAAAGGAGCATCATACTTTTTTTTAAAGTTCTTAATATGCTTTGTATGTAAAATTCTGAGTTTATAAAGTGACCACTGCAGCTGTCAAATGATTGTAGTGAGGTGTTTAATGGATGATACACTGACAGCTCCTAAATGATAATTACAGGATGGGTTTGGGGTTCTTGCGCAGGAAAAAAAAAAACATGAATCTGTAATCTTAATATTTGCATTGTGTATATTAGGGTATGTTAAAAGTTGAGTCTGGAAGCCTGTCACTACTGTGACCAATTGCATAGGGCAGGCTTTCAATAAAATATTCACTTACCATTTTCACTGGCTGTAAATCATAGTCCTGTCGAGGACTGTAGGCCTGCTCATATGTCGGAACCCAGTGACAGGCGCTACAGCCATATCAGCCCAGAGCTGTTTTACTCTATTCACATGATAGAACAACCCCAATCTTGTAGAGTCCTGTTTTTGTCATAGTGAATATGGTCTGGCCTCCAGTTCCAGTGACATGCATTGCTTACTTCAAGCTGTTTTCTCCAACTGAGCTCTGTTATAACTCTGTGATGGCAGCTGAGGCCGCCTGAAATATAAATGGAATAAATCAAATTGTGCCTGTGAAATACAATTCAACCTGTTCGAACAGTTCCACAAAAGGCAAAAGAAGGTTATATGCCTGCATCTGCGTAGTGCAGAAATACCTAATATCCAGCAGTGTTTGACATGATCATCAATACTGCATCATTACTGCATTCATAAAAGGGAAATTTGAGATGATTGCAATACTCACCAATTACCACTGTAATTATGTCTAAATATAGAACTATGTCTAATTATGCTAGCATGAATATGAATTGTATTACATAACACATTTAAATCTGTCATTCAAGCGAGATTCTAATATGAATCAGGTGTAGTTATTTTAACCACACTGTTGCCTTAAGGTTCTGCTCTATAGGTGTGTATTATAAGTCTGTATGTGGCAGTCTTATGTGTTACAATGTTGAAAGTGTCTTTTTGGTCCTGAAAAAGGGATATTATGTAAACAACAACATGAGGGTTGTTATTCATACCCTATTCTAACCAGGTTTTTCTAAATAATTGAAATCAGGATATTGACTCAATGAGCAGACTAAATTTAGTGAGGCAAATATGAAATAAAATGCCCAAACTTTTCCCTTCCTTACAAAGAATAAATTAGAACTGAAATCTAATGTAATTACTTGAAGTAATGAATGTAATAGATGATGTAATGTTTACATCAAGGTGTATGTTTGTCAAAAGCATCTCACAATTGCAAAGTTCCATAAAAGTACATAAATGTCATCTTCAAGCATAGCAATTGATTGTGTATCATAGACACACATTGTGTGTGAGTAGCAGGGTTGGGGAGTAACGGATTACATGTAATGCCGTTATGTAATCAGGATACAAAAAAGTAAATGTACCATTACAGTACAGAAAAAATAGATGTAATCAGATTACAGGTACATTATGTAAAATCGGGGATTACTCATTACTTTAAGCACAAAGTTTCCATGAAACAGAAAATGCAGTGCTATTTGCCTCTATATGTTTTTATGTACAGTCTATGGTATAGGTACATGTTTCTGTGAAAACACACAGCTAGTGAGGGACGTGTCGCTGACATTGATTGGCGTTTACACTTGCCAGTAGTGCCGAATGTGTGTTTAGGCCTGCATCCCGCATGCAGACTCTGGGCAGACTAGTTCCACCTCTTGCTGAGTGAACCTGTCAGCTGGACCGGGACCGAGCACAGCTTCCAAGACCGACAGAAGCCAGTTTGACCATTGGGAATTAGGGGTGTGCATCTTCACTGATCTCATGATTCGATAACAATTATCAGGTCAACGATTCAATTCGATTCGATTCCTTGATGCATCATAATGCATCACCTCAAGGGAAGGAATTTCTAGGTACCTCATTACGATTATGAGGCTACGATGCGATTGTAAAACAAATAGGATAGAGATGTATTTATTTCACTATTTGTCTATTTGGTACTTTTAAAGCAAAGTTTTTGTAACAATCCAAAGTAGTAGGTAGTAATGAAATCCTGTACAGTGTGCGGGTGAAAATCATTAAGCACTGAATCATGTGAAATTTTAGTAGCAGCAGTCACTCACTCAATAGCTGCCTGTCTGTGCGAAACATGGAGAACCACACGTCTCCGTTGTGAGCACCGCACAGATGGTCCAGAGCTGCACTTCCACATTTTTCGTTCCATCAACATTACGTTATCAATTAACCTCTAGATAATGGGAATACAGTACCGAGGTGGCAACAGTTAGCGGTTTAGCAAAAAATAAAGTTATCCATCAGAAAGCTCTGTGGGTTCTGTTCATGTGATCCCGCAACCCCCCACCCAGTAATCAGATGATTTTTTAACATGTAACCCTCCCAACCCTGGTGAGTTGATACTGTGTAAAAACCATGCTCATTGCAAAACTAAGATACTATGGCAGGTGAGAAATAAAAGGCTTGGATAAAATGGGTTACAAATGTTCAAGGAAAAAACTTTGTGTCATAGAGCAACACTATAAGTCAGAAATGTTTTTGCCATTTTAGCAACTGGCAGGATAAAGCAGGGTTTAGCCTTGGCTGTTCCACTTTCACAGCATGCAGTTTATTTTTACTTTATTTATTTATTTATTTATTTGAAAGCATAATGCTGTCACTTTACACACAACGTTTAAAATGATTATAGAACACCTTGATAAAGATTTAATAGCTGTTGTTATAATATTGCATTTTTGTCATCAAATAGTTAGAACAGGTTTCATGTTAGCAACCTTAATATAGGAGCATGGTCCTGCACACCATTGCTTTAATGTGAACACAATTTGAAAAACTGCAAATTCAAAATCCACCTTCAGCTTGGAAAAGTAAGTATATGGGACTCTAATACGATGAATTTAGTATTGTGTGTCTGTTTTATATAAGGTGTCAATATGATCCTCAGCCACAATAATCCTTTGTTATGGCACACTTAAATTTGTCAGGGCAAGAACTGATAACATTTATGATGATTCTGTGCATTGAAGTGGCCAAGTAGAGGCAGTACGCACTATACTAAGTGATTCATGTTATTAATCACACCTGTGCTTTCCTGCTATGACATGTTAAAATGTACTAAAAACAGTTGTATTAATAAAATATCAAAAGCAATGTGATTAAAACTGTTAAAAACAACAAAGCAAAAACACTGAAGAAGAAACTGGAGTTCAACTTCAGCAACATCTGTTTATGTTTTTCGTTTTGGATTTAGGAGAGACCTTTATACCTGTTCTTTATTAGAACATTGTTTAATAGACACACACACTTCCTCCCAGAGTGTGTGACATTAGCACTCTGTGTCAGGGAACAGTGAGGTTTATTAATGACATTGAACATTTCAGCTGTCGACGACCTTATAAACACGTTTCTCTGGATGGTTGGGTCTGTCTGTTTACTTCTGGTGCTCTTGTCTGGAAAACCTGGTGGAAAATAACTGTGCATGATAACGGATGTGTTTTTTCTCTTCGTCTTGTCGAAGCAAACAGAATTAGACCAAAGGGCTTTCATGTACTCTGCTCCCACAGCCCATGGGGAAATGATGTAAAACTAAAAGTGCTGGTCTCTCTGTGTGAGTTTAAAATGATTATGAAGGATTTCAAGGCAGATTCAATAAGAAACAGATTATTCTTTGTTTAGCTTAAATCTATTTCAGCTTGTTTCCTGTTCCTGCGGATGTGCTGTTGAACTACTGCTCGCATGATTACTTTTGACTTAGCATTTACATTTACCTATATGTGACTTTAATTGTGTTTTTGCTCATGAATATGTATGCCATTTTGCTAAGTGTGCACAGCTGCATTGTTTGTCACGATGCTTATTTCTTGGGCCAAGTCTTTCTTAAACAGCAGCATTTTTTAAAATCCCAATGAGACTACCTGCTTAAATAAAACAGAGAAGAGTGGTTTTGCTTTAGTGACTTTGGCTTTTAAGTTTGCTATTTTTCTATTCTTATTTCACCCATTCAGCTGTAAGATGGGCCTTTGGTGGTCATGGCTCCTGCATGGTTGATGTATCTCTTTATACAATCACAGTCATCCATGGATCCATGGATCAACCAGCCAGATGGTAATATCTAAGGGCATCCCAATGGACCTGAAATTCCAGCCTAGCCAAGTTAATCCTGCACAAGGCATGGCAATACCTTCAGT